GTGTGTGTGTGTGTGTGTGTGTGTGTGTGTGTATATATATATATATGGTTTTAACAGGTTATAATTTTCCAGAAATCTCTCCATTTCTTCTAAATTTTCAAATTATGGGCTTAAAAATATTAGTGATATACTTCTAATATTTTTTTGACTGTCTACATCATCTATAATGATAATTCTGTCTTTTCTGATATTGGTTATTTTTGCTTCTTTTCTTTTTCTACTTAATCAGTCTTGACAAAGCATTGTCAATATATTTGGTCTTTTCAAATATCAAATTTAGGCTTTATTGATCCTCTCAATTTTATACTTTCTGTTTTTCCTATTTATTATTCTCTGCTCTTAAATCTATAATTACTTTTTTGGGAGATTTTCTCTAATTTCTCATTGATTTTCTGTATTTCTTTCTTTTTTTATTTTTATTTTTTTAAAATTTCACTCCTAGAAAAGCCAGCATGGCTTTTGCATTTAAGATTATAAATTACCCTGTAAGTGTGGCTTTAGCTATATTCTCAGTTTCAATATATAGTATTTTCAATTTCAGTAAATTTCTAATTTCCATTTTTATTCCATCCTAAAGAACTGACACTTTTATTAGATGTAGTGATCTTTATTCTCTTGTAATGCTTCTTATGTTAAAGTCTGTGTTGTCTGATAGTATAGGTGCATAAACTTTCTCATGCATGTTTGGTGTATTTTTCTATCCCTTTACATTCAACCTTTCTGTACCCTTGTGCTTTAGTTGTTTTTAAATTCAGTCTGAAAGTGCTTCTTTTAATTGAGCATTTAGTCTATTCACAATTAATGTAGTTACTGATATAGATTTAAATTTACCATCTTATTTTATTTTTCCTGTTTGTCTTGCCAGTTCCATATTTCTTTTTCCTTTCTTGCCTGATTTTTATTTTTTTAGTTGGTATCCTACAATTATAACATACAATCTTTAACTTAATCAAAGTTTAAGACTAATGTTCATACTTCTCCTTAACGGTACAAATAGACAATAAGGGAATTTAAAACAGTTAAGTTCCTTTAACTCTCCCTTCTGACTTATTGTCTCGTGTTTTATCTCTCTCTTTTAAACACACAAGACATTATTATTATTATTCTTTTATATAGCCAGGATATGTCTATTAATCAGAAATTTCTGTCGTGTTCTCATATTTTAATTTTAGTTGGGTATACCATTCCAGGTTGGCAGTTTTTTTTCTTCCATTGGAAAGAGCTACCATTCCACACTTTCCTGGTTTCCATTTTTGCTATTGAGAAGTTCCTCTTAAGGGTACTCTCCTTTTTTCCTCCATTGCTTTTAAGATCTTTGTTTTTATTGTTCTCCAGTTTTGCTATGCTATATCTGGGTTTTTATTCATTTTTACTTTATCCTGCTTTTGATATTTTTGAGTTCTTGACTTTAAAGTGTCCATAAAAAAGAAAAAATCAGATATTGCCTCTCTTGTCTCTGTCCCCTTTTCTGTCTCTCTTCCTTCTAAAACTTTGATTTTGATGAAGTGTATGGTAGATCTTCTCATTGTCTTCCATGTCTTTTATTTTTAGTCTCTCTTTCGTATTTTTTATCTTTTCTTCCAGATTGCTGTAGAGCAAGTTCTAATGGCATATTATTTACTTAGCAAAAAATGTTTACGGTTTTCACTTTCGAAAAGCATAAGGCATAGCATTCAGATAGAGGAACATTGATGGTTGTTCATTTAGCTTCCATAATAGGTCTTCTTACTGACCTACTTTAAGTCATTAATAAAAGCTTCTTTAGAATTTTTTATGTCAAATATGTACTTACAGATTAATTTTTAGTATTTTATTATTTTGGAAAATGAACCCTGTTGGGTCACATTTAGACCAGTTTTCCAAGGATCACTTAGTGGTGTTATAATATTCACTCTGATAATGAATTGAGTTCTTATAATGCTCAAGTGTTTTTGCTAGTTCACATTGTCTGTGTCCTATTGTTTGGATAGGGAGAACAAGGTATTCTACAAGTTTAAAAAAAGATAATGATACTCAAGGACTGGGAGGGTCAGGCAACTTTGATAGAAGAGTTCAATTCTGTACACAGATATTGAGTATCTCAGCTGGACAAGGTTCTGGTCCATTTTAGGGCTACAAAGATAATGACAAAAGTGTCCAGGGAATTTGATGTAGGAACTATTTGCTATTATTTTCACTTGGAAACCCAGATTGATTTAGTGACAATAGTTAAGAGTGGAAAGGTAAGTTGCATAGGCAGTGATTTAGCACATCAGAATGAAGTGGAATGCTCACAAACTAATCATCAAACACTGTAAGCACACTGCTCTGCACATCTGCTGTGAATTGATTTGAATTTTGAAGGATGAATAAGCTGAGGTAGCCAGAAGGATGATGATATTCTAGGGAGGAGTTATCTGAGTAGGGAGTCTGAGCAGAGAACGTGCTGGGCTTTTCCTTTTTTTATAATTAAATGAAAATAAAAGCATTAGTAGTTAGATACTTTCAGCTGATATGTACCTTTCATCTTTATTATGTTAATACTTTTCATGCCTTACAAATGTGATTTAAGAGGCAGGAAGTCATGGACTTTGACTTAAATATCTTTTAAGTTATTGATACCCATGCCTTTCCTCAGTTAAATAATCTGCTGTGTACTAGTTTGGTTACAAATTAGACTACTAGCCTCTTTGAGCAGTCTGGCAAGCGTGGGAACCTTTGTCAGACACAGTCCCAGTGTCTGAATGAATATGGGAATGAATTAACGCAAATTTGATACCATTTCAAACACAGTACCCAACTAAGGTGGTTCAACTTATGATTTTCAACTTTATGCTGATTTATTGGGACAGAACTCCCAGTAAACTTCCATTGTAAGTGGAAAAACATCTGGACTTACAGTAGTTCAGTTTAATGATCTTTGGACTTTATGATGAGTTTATTGGGGCATTAAATGTATTTTCGATGTACAATATTTTCAGATTATGGTTGGGTTATTGGGAGGTGACCCTGTTGTAAGTTGAGGAGCATCTGTATTTACCTCTGTGTGTGCATGCTCTGTGCATTGTTTTATCACTAAAGTTATCTATTTAGCATAGATATTAACTGTTCATTAATTGAAAATACAGACCTCAAACCTTAGGAGTTACACAAATATTAGGGTAGCACAGAGACGTTGTAGTAAATATTTAACTATATTTTCAGCTACCAACCCATAGTTGACTACATAGATGCCCAGTTTGAGGCCTATCTCCAAGAAGAACTGAAGATTAAGCGTTCTCTCTTCAATTACCACGACTCTCGCATCCATGCGTGCCTCTACTTCCTCTCACCCACAGGCCACTCTCTGAAGACACTTGATCTCCTAACCATGAAGAACCTTGACAGCAAGGTGAGTTTAGGAAAAGAATCAACTGATGATACTTCAATGTTTATTTTGAACTATTAAAATATCTTTACAATATGTGTATATATCGTAACTTCTATTTTATGCAGCTTTAAAACATACATTAAGTTTCTATCTTAGTTTATTTTCCAGAGAAATTCAGTTTGGAAAATGAGATGCAAAAAAGAAACATTAAAGTAAAATTTTAGTTCCTTTTTTAGTGATTAAATTGTATGCCAGAACATGGGTGTTCTCCACATTTTTTATATAGATAATTGACAGTAACTTTATGACACTATTAAATGAGAGGAAGACTTTCTTTGACAAAGATTAAGGTCTAATGTTTCATTACATGTTATGGTCAAATATAGTAAAATGTGTTTTAATTTGGACCACAGCAAGAAAACCTATTTTGAATTTCTGAGCCAAGGAGCTATATAGAAATTCAAGGAGCTATAAAAATAATCCATAAATTAACTCATTTCAGATTTTTATATTTGTTTAAAAAGATGGTTAAGGACTACTTAAGTATCTTATACTAAAAAAAAAAATCTCTAGAGCCGTGGTCCCGAACCCCCAGACCAAGGACTGGTACTGGTCCATGGCCTGTTAGGGACCAGACCACAGAGTGCCTGGGCACTCCACCTCACCCCCTAAGTCTGTGGGAAAATTGTCTTCCATGAACCCAGTCCCTGGTGCCAAGGTTGGGGACTGCTGCTCTAGAGTTTTCGTGTAATTTCTAATGGTGTGAGAAATGGCAGCTTTTGTAACCCTAGTTACTAATTTTGTAAGGTAGGATTTGGAATGCAAGAACATTCTGGATGCTACTGCTTTCCCTGTAGAAATCAGTTTGGAAAGCATGAAGGCTTGCTAGGGAAGCTTTGGCACATAGGTTGTTTTATTTTTGACTAGTTGTACAGTCTCCTAGCTTTAGCAAAAACTTGATAAACCTTACTTGTCTGTTCTTCTGATCAGATGTGATCAGATGTTCTACTCATTTAGCCAGTTATTTTCATAGTTGAGTGTGGTTATATGGAAATTCGTATTTATTAAAGAAATAAAAACAAGAATGTGCAACTTTGTCTTAGCTAGAGAGAAACAACATGGTGTAGTTTGTATATAGATCGTAGAATTTTGTGTTAGTGGAGGCCGGTTTTAAATATTGGCTTTGTCGTTTATTAGCTGTTTGATCTTGGGCAAGTTTCTTTAGTTCCCTGAGCCTGAGTTTCCTCACTTCTAAAGTAAAAACTAGGGAGAGGACTTACCTCAAGGGGCAGATATGAAAATTAATTAAATTCAACCATGTAAATAGAAGGTTTAGCAAATAGACATGCCCAGTAAGAGATGGTTGTTATCATTACCTGGCGAGGATTAAATGAAATAATGTATGTAAAGCCCTGGTTATTATTATGCATGCAATATGCAAAATGTATAGGCATATAAAACATGTTGGTTCACCCTTCCCCTTCTTAATAGCTGTAGAACAGAAGTTTGTTTTAGTACAGTGTATAAATGTATGTTATCTAATCTCCAGCTTTGGTAATTTAAAGATATTCTTAATTTTTAGTGATAAAATGTAAACCACCCTGTAAAAACAACACCTGCCTCTGTTATTTTATATGAGAAGGTTGTTTCAGAGTTCCTGGCTCAATACACTATCCTGGTATAAAATAGACAGTAGAGAGGGGTTAGGATGTCGTGATGGACTGCCTGAATTCAGCCTCAGCCCTGCTGCTTACCAGCTGTGTGGCCCTAGACGAACTCAGCTTCAGTTTTTTCATGTATAACATGAGGATAGTGAGCCCACTCTAAGACTTTTGTGATGATTAGTGGAGATGAATTATAAAGCATTTTCACAGTGCCTGGCACATAGGAAGCACCTATGTTACTTACTGTTTGTTATTTAAAATTATTTTTTAATTAATAGGCACAGTCTTATTCAGAATATTTACATACTGGTATGGGAGGTATTGGCTAGCCCAGTCACCTTTGAGTAGTCAAAAGTTTTTGAGAAGAGTTAGCCAGGAGCAATTTATGTTGATGCATTCCCTTAATGGATTTTCTGGAATAAATAGAAGAGCTTATGAGCACTTGTTCAGAGGCAGCATATCTTGGAACAGGAGTCCAACCTGCTATCTCTTAGAACAGCTGGCTCTAGATGCGTATTAGTCATCCCTTGGTTCCGAGACACTTGAGTTGCTCAAGTCTCTCATGTGAAATGGCGTAGTAGAGTAACACACTGCGTAGTAACATTTTAGTCAACGACAGACCACATATACAACAGTGGTCCCATAAGATTCTAATACCGTATTTTTATTATATCCCCTCTGTGTTTAGATATCTTTGAATATGCAAATATTTACCATTGTGTTATAGTTGCCTACACTATTCAGTACAGTCACATGCTGTACAGGTTTGTAGCCTAAGAGCAATAGGCCACACCACATAGCCTTGGTGTGTAGTAGGCTGTACCATCTAGGTTTGGGTAAGTACACTCTGATATTCACTATGATGAAATCACATTAGGCAATTAGGATGCCGCGTTTCTTTTGCCATCATTAAGTGACACATGACTGTATTTGCACGTAACCTACCTATTAGATTACTCATAATACCTAATGTAAGTGCTATATAAATAGTTTTACTGTACTTTTTTATTGTTACCTTAGAATATTTTTTCCGAATATTTCGCTCATCAGTTTGTTGAATCTGGATACAGAACCCACAGAGGAAGAGGGGGCATACTCTACTACCACAGACATTGAAAAGCATTACAATATTATCTTGTGAACAATACCTACCTTATTTTATTCAAACCAAAATGAAATGTTTTATGGTAACAGTAGAAGATCATGGGTAACATGTACTCATTTAAAGATTGTCACTGCTTTGTTCTCTTTTATTTAGTCGATGGGGGACAAATTCTAAAATCAGAACTCCTTTATCAAAATCCTGCGTTTAGCTTTCCATTGTACAAACTAGACAGGAAGATCACACCTAAGCTTTGTTACAGATTTCAAGGGAAAACTAAGATATGCCTCAGTATTGATTTGGTACATATTATATAGGTATACACAGGTTTTTTTGCAGGGGCAGCTGTTACCCATACAAGCCACCTGTCAGGCATAGGGAGATCCCAGTTAACACATGAGCACCACATAAAGATGGGAGGTGTCTGTGCTGGCTTCTCCTCCCAGTTCCCAGGCCTCCTCCAGATCGTTGTCTTTTATTCCTAAAAGCAGAACACTTGACTGGTATGGAAAGTCAATTTATCTTATGCAAATGGTGACAGTTGACCATCCTTGGGCAGCCTCTGTACTTTCCCTCCTTCTGATGGACACACAAACATTGATGTTTAGCATTCATTCTACTTCTGCAGTATTGTGCAAGCAATTGTAAGTTATTAACTTGGCTTAATTTATTGACTGTCTAAGTATGTGTATGTTGAAGCCAAAGACTTGGCACCAAAATGTTTATGTGCTTTGACTAATTTAACCTGAAAGCTGTTTGCTCACAATTGCTGGAAGTTTTCTGCCATTAACTTCATAGATAGTTGGAAAAATCCTTGTCTCCTTTGGAACATGTGGAAGACTGATAAATCCAATATACACATTGAGTCAATGTGAAATATGTGAAATTGGAGAAGAGGAAAAAAATTGAGAATAGAATAGGAATTATAATTTTTACTTTTACTTTTATTCTTAGAATTCCATTGTGATCTCACTTTCTTGACACATTTGACTGATTAACCTGAACTTTTTCATTAGAAACAAACTAAAAAAAAAAAAAAAAAATCCAAAACGCTACCAGTCCCAAGTTTGTGGAGACATGAGTCTTTTGTGGGGACATGAATCTCTTATAGGACTAGATTTACAAGTTAGTCAGTACTCACGATCCCAGATCTCTTCCTTTGTGTCAGTGATAGGACTTAACGTACTGCAGAGAAAGTTATTCCTGTGCATCATGAACACTCTTCGTTGGTATTGGAACAGTTCCTTCCTTCCTTCTCTGCCATCTGTTAGGAGTCTCTAACTGTGGGGCTCAGGTGGTGATGGAGTCAGTGCTGAAACAAGAGGCGAAAGGAAAAGCTTCACCTGTTCTTAGTTTTGCTGAGGGCTCAATCACCCTAATCACTTAGTGTTTAGATCATTAAGAAATAAAAATTCATAGTGAATTAAACAGGCAATTTCAGCTTACTGTTTATTTCTTTTTATTTAGTAAGTGTGTAATGGAATTGTAAGAGACTTTGAGGGAAAGAGAAGAAGATGTGAGATTTCTAAACCTAAACTCAAATGAAAGATTAACCTTACAAGAGTTCTACTTTTTTAATGCTATTACTATAAGGCCAGCACCTACAGGAATGATTGTGTAAGGAGTATATAGAGAGGAGAGTGACCACAAGGGATTACCCAGGTCAGGGGTTGGCAGGCCTTTTCTCTAAAGGGACAGGCAGCAGATACATCAGTCTTCACAGGCCCTCTGTGAAGGTGGCCTCCGGGGCAGCTCCTCGTCTCTGCTGCTGCAGTGTGAAGACAACCCTAGTCAATGCATAAACGGTGGATGTGGCGGTGTTCCAGTAAATCTTTATTCATGAAAAACAGGCAGCGAGATGGACTATAGATTGCCAACTCCCTGATCTAGGTTAAGGAAATTTATGGTCAGAGAATGAATGGTTTTGAGTGAAAAACAACTATGGGATTAAAAAAACAAATCCTTAATTATGAGATTTTGTTTTTCTTTATTCTTAATAGGTGAACATTATACCAGTGATTGCCAAAGCAGATACAATTTCTAAAACTGAATTACAGAAGTTTAAGATCAAGCTCATGAGTGAATTGGTCAGCAATGGCGTCCAGATATACCAGTTCCCGACAGACGATGACACTGTTGCTAGGGTCAATGCTGCAATGAATGTGAGCTCCTAGTTGAATATTGATTGTTTTACATGTGAAAATAAAACTGTAATTTATGTGTCACATTGCTACTAATATACTTGCACTTGTGTCTTCCAAAAAGACTTCAAACAAGGTGAATTTTCAGAAAGTCTAGTATGAGAAAATGTTTTATTTTTTTGAGTTGGAAAAAGTATAATGAGAATATATTTTTCAGCATATTTTCCTTCTACTCTGCTTTCACCTAAATAAAGTGATAGATTTGTGAGAGTGGGATATACTTCTTGTGGAACCATATTTAGTTGCCTTAGAAAGATGCCTTTCTATCCTGTCTTTAAAAACATAGGAAGACATTATAGCCTCCCTTGGAATGCTTTAGAAGCTTAAAATCTTTAAGGAGATGTCTTAAAGCTGGTATTTACACTCCTCCCTTACAGTGTCACACGTACATACTAAACATTCCTGTAACTTTTAGTTTAATATAATTGAAGATTACTAAGTTCTTTACTTTTTTCAAGCTAACATATTTCTTGGCTATGTTTTGTAGGAACATGAGTTTTGAAGTCAGACAGACTTAACCATATTCTATTGGAGTTATGAAACCTTTCTGACACTGTTAACATACCTACAAAGTTAGGAGAATACCTATATTAAAGGTGTTGTGAGGATTAATGATATAACCTTTGTTAAGTGTCTAACAGTGACTTTCAGTAGCTGTTCATTCCATTTCTTCCCTTTTCCTTTTCTGATTTTTCATACCCCATTTATATTAAGATACTTAAACTAAATAAGAACTGACTAATGTAAATGAAGTGATTTTAATTCCTATGTATTAGATTGTTTTTACATCTAATGTTATTTCTTGTGCTCTCCTAGAATAATTTTTCAGAAAGGCACAATTAAGAAACTAAATGTCAATTATTAAATACTGAACATAGTACTTAATACTTCTTACATTAGGCTTTTCCCCATATTAATCCTCATCTTCAGATAGACCGTCTACTCCTTGCCGCCGAATCTAGCTATTGCATTTTGTTCAGAAGCTTCTCCTTCCCTAAGGTGTTTCTTCCCACTTAGCTTATCTATCTAAATCCCTTTCTTCCCTATCTGGCTTGACCAATATCTTTCTGCTCCCTGTGATCTCTTACTCCTCTCAATTTCTAAGGCATTTACTATATTAGCATTAATTTGGGACTTTATATATTACTTTGTATTAGTAAATATCTATACATATACTAAATATAGACATATACACTACATTATAGTTATATATACTGTGTGTGGTATATATTGTGTGTGGAGTAATTTCCTCAACATTATCTTTGTCTTTTAGGGCAAAGATTACATTGAGGAAAATCGCACCTATACTAAAAGTTTTTAGGTTTTTTTTTTGTATTCCCAACAGCATAGTGCCTTACCTGTGAGGGATGCTCACTAAATAATTTTCTTTATAGGGCCCAAAATTGACACTTGCAGAACAATTAGCACATATTCACTGCCAAGTTTTAAAATCTGAGGCATAGCTGATCATTTGATTTTTGTATAGATTTGTTATTTAATAAATTATTCTCTTCTCATTATTATATACATGAATTTTTTTTTTTTTTTTTTTAGCTAGTCAGTTATCACATTGCTGTGAGAAGATGTGATTGATATTCCGGTTCCTTTTCAGGGACAATTGCCATTTGCTGTTGTAGGAAGTATGGATGAGGTGAAAGTCGGAAATAAAATGGTCAAAGCTCGCCAGTACCCTTGGGGTGTTGTACAAGGTAAATGAGATAAGCAATGACTAGAAATATGTGTGTGGCCTAGTGATCTCAAGGTTGCATTATTCTGGTTATGGTGAGCTGTCAGAGGAGTTGGCTGTGTACCATTTTAACCAGAGACTATGGGCCAGACAGAGCCTCCCCATTCTCAGTGTGCTACATGCAGGTCCTGTGGCACATGACCTGGTACCCTGACTGTCAGAAGCTGGGAAGCACTCATGGGGCACTTTGACCAAAATTAGAACGTAAAAAGTGTTTAAACATGATACATAAACTAATTACCACTTAACTATAAGGGATAATAAATCATCTTGTAAATTTATTTATTTTTACTGATCAAAGTATTGCCAACTATTTCCAAAACAAACCAATCAGCTAAGTGAATTCCATCTGATATTTAGATTATTTATCTAGCATTATAATGAGTAATTAGTACTTGTTGCTCCATAAATTAATATAAATATATTGGAGACAGAAAACGTCTCAGGAGTTTTGCAGAGCTTTGCCCTGAAGGAATATGTGAACGTGTTAGTTTGCATATTGAAAGCTATTTCACCTCAGGAGGGCATCTCTGAAAGATTAGTAGTGGCTGCATCCCACAATGGCGCCGTGATTCTCAGACCTGAGATTTGGACTTGCTTTGAAAAGCAAAGCAGGTCTGCTAAGAACCACAGGATGAGAGCTGATCAAAGAGTGCCCGCCCAACAGACAGCCACCTGTGGCTAAAAGCAATTAGCCCAAGGGACAGTTCCTGCTTAAACTCCTGACTACCTGTCTCAGTACACAATAACTTGATAAAGAAAATATGGAGCCAATATATCTCTGTTTAACCCCTCTATTAAGTGATAAATTTACCTTAGAAGTTAGTCTTTGAAAGATTTTGTAACCATTTGTTCACATAGATAGAATTAGTTAAGGGATCTGTAAAAGCCTTTTGAAAAACTTTTAACCTAAGAGGAACTACCTGTTATTATGTAAATCTGTTACCCCTGGCAACTGATCACTGTACCTATAAACACCCATGTAAAACTTCACTCTTGGCCTCTGAGATTGATGGAGAAATCCAGGCCCCCTGAGTATCCGCTTTGCCTATGATCTTTATAAATCTATAAAACTATACCTTCATCTCTGTGTATTCTTTTATTTCCATTATTTTCCATTTTCTATTATTTTCTTATCCTTTGCAACAACCCTACCAAAGAGACCCGATTTTTTGCTGGGAGCTTAGCTACTTCCCCGCAGGTACTACCTGGTTCACTTACTTGTGATGGAAATTAATGGGGAATAGACCCTACTAGTACTGGTTTCCAAATGCTGCTTTTGAAAAATTGACAAATTTTGTAATTAAGAAAAATATTGAGAAAATGTAACATTTTTAATGTATAAAAAATACAAAAGTAATAATTAAGTAATAATTGTACATATTTATTTATAATCCTCTTGTAACCGTAAACATAGAAGAAGGACCGTGAAAGTGTGTTCACTAATTTTGAATAGTGCTTAACATAGGATCATAAATGTATAAAAAGAATTTGATAGTTATAGCATGCACAGACGGTATCCTTGAGTTTGCAGAATTTACTACTTTGAAGTTTTAGTGAGATAATGTTATGTACTCTTTTTCAGTGCTATGAGAAATGCCCTGAGGATGGTTTGTGAACTGCTAACAAAGTATTAGTTAAATAACTAGAGCATACGGTAACATAATAAATTGTGTTTCTTTGTAATTTCCTGTTTATCCATTGGCTACTAAATTTAAAGCAAATCTCTTAGTCTGTCAATTAATGTTGCCTATAATAGTATGTATAAGGCAAGAGTTTCTTCCTTGGTTACTTGTATAAAATAATCATAGCTATTAATCAGATTGATCATTTCGCTGTTATTTCACATGTGTTTTCATTTGTTTGTTCATTCAATAAATGCTAATTGGTGCCAGGGATTAAAAACCAGTGTTATTCTTATTTTTTCTGGCCAGTGGAAAATGAAAACCACTGTGACTTCGTGAAGCTGCGGGAGATGCTCATTTGTACAAACATGGAGGACCTGCGTGAGCAGACCCACACTCGGCACTACGAGCTCTACAGACGTTGCAAGCTGGAGGAAATGGGCTTCTCAGATGTGGGCCCAGAGAACAAGCCTGTCAGGTGAGGGAGGTTCTTGGGAAGCCAAGCAAAGAGGAAGTTAGAGAGGACTGCATGTTTTTGTATAGCCAGGAATTGGGGGAATGTGTTTTTCAGAAATTTCCCAAAACCATGAAATAGAATTATTTGATAATGACTAATTATTGTGCTTCTCGAATCACCTGACATCTCCTTGCTTTTGAAGGGTCTTACTTTTGCAGTGCTGTGTGACTCAGAAGGGGCTATATAGAAGGAGGAACATATGGCAAAAGTCTCCTATTTCAGTACACGTTGACATGAATACTTGAACGAAAAAGCCCTCAATATTTGGATTTATTTTTGCATTTATCTGAGACAGATGAAATTATATTTAACTGTTATCATAAAAGAAAGTTGGAGCACAAATCATATTAAATAAACTAAAATACTATCTGTTGGTTCTTCTCCTGTGAAAGTTTTGGAATGAGTGAAACTTATAAAGGAAGAATGGAGAGTACTTATAGGGAGCTAGAGATTAGATTGTTTCTAACAATATTACAGCATCGTTATAAGAATTGTAGAACCTGAAGACCTTCTTGCTCTGTGATATAGGGCATTAAATGTTGTTATAAACTTCGTTAGTAATTTTCTGTGATGCTATATCCCTGACTTTCTTTTTTTTAATTAAGACATGTACACATGAAACTCTAGTCCTTAATGTACTACAGCAAATCTGATTTGACATAGCATTCCAGAACAGTGTTTGCATGGAGAAAAGCATGAGATCCTTGGAGCAAAGGCTATTTTAAACTGTTATGAGACTGAGGATTCCTTTTCCACTCCATTGTTTGCATTTCAGCATTTTCCCTAGCTGTTAGTACTTACCCCAGAGTAAATACAGATGGAAGGAGGAAGAGTGCATCAAATCAGTGCTGCTATTTCGTATGTCCTTTTGGACGACTTAATCATAAATGAAGTTGAATTTTTAAATTTTTTAATCTATGTATTTAATTAGTGTTTTAGCTTCCGGTAGCATAGTAAATTAAGAATTATATGTACTTACCCCCTACCCCCACCATCACCACCACCAAATTCAGGCATGCTGTGCTCTGCTTGTGGGCCAATCATTCTGGTAAAACAATTTTTTTCATTATATTATCTTCACTAAAGATTAACCATGACAATTTGACTTCCCTAATGTTTCCCAGAGGAGGATTCACTTCTCATTTCTTCCACGTCTCAGGGTAATTCAGAGGTCTCTGCACTGAGGAGGCAGGGATCCTGAGCAAGAGTAAGAGGGCAGCTCTGAAGTCCTCTACAGGAGAGGGGTCCAGGTTGCCTGGTGGATCCATCATCAGTCACCTGCAGATGATTAAGAAATGCAGGGTCAGAATTCCCAAGGATAGAGCCTAAGAATCTACATTTCAAAATTTTCAGTCATTCAGCAAATAATTGTTATTTGTCTATCATCTATTGGGCATGATGCTAGTCACTGGGTATCTAGGCACTGTGGGGTCAAACCAGATCTTGTCTTTTTAGAGCTTCTGCTGTAGGGGTGGGAGGAGTACACTCTGGGCCTATGTGGAGAAGAGGGTGTGGGGATGGGGAGATCAAGTTAGGAGCCTGCCACAGTAGTGCAGCCATGAGAAGGTAGAGGTGTGGACGAGGGTGGTAGTGATGGAGGGGTGAGAATTATATTTAGGGTATGTATTTGAAGTTAGCGTCAGTAGGACTCCCCTATATGGGATTTAAAGGAGAGAGAAATCAAGGATCACTTGAGTCACTATTTTGACCTGATAAATAGAGTGACTGGTGGTGATCTTTATTGACAAGAGCAGGATGGGAAAGGATGGGGTTGGAAATTGAGAGGTTTTGGAAACGTTAAATTTAAGCTGCTTATTAAATATTAAAGTGAAGAATTTGAGTAGATTATTACATAGATGTTTCCAGAGCTTAGGGGGAAGGTAAGGCTGATGAGTACTTTGGGAGTCAACAGTGAATAATACTAGGTAAAATTCTAACTATTTTTTAAATGTTTACTGTTTGCAAGGCTCTGGGCTAAGTGCTGGGGATTTAATATTGTCTTTCATGGAGTTTACATTCTTGTAGGACAGACCCCCAGATTAAACACCTATTACACAGTAAATTACAGCTAAGATATGTGCACTACAGAAGTAGACAGTATATAATGGGGGGGCCTGATTTAAGCTGGAAAATTAGGGAAGACTCCTTTGAGGCAGTGACTACTGTGAGCTGTAATAACTTGGGAAATACAAAGCAAGACACATGCAAAGGCTCAGAACACGGAGGGAGAATGGCATCTTTACCACTGGGAGGAGATGAGTGTGCTGGAGTTCCATGGGGCCAGGACTGGACTAGCATGAGATTGAGAGAGCAGGGGTGCCGGCAGGAGCCATGGGAGCCCTGGTGAGGATTTGGTCATTGTCCTAAGGGGAAGGCAGAGTCATTTTAGAAGTGATTACATATTTGAATTTTAAAATTTACTCTTAGCTCCAGTGTGAAGAAGGTATCGAAGGGATGTGCAAAGATACTTAGGAGAGTATTTCTTGGACTAAAGTGATAACAATGAAAATAAAGAGAGCTGGACATATTTGAGAGATGTCTAGAAGGTGAAATTGGAAGAGTTTAATAGTTGTTTGGATATAAGCAGATAAAAAAGCAGGTGGCTAGAAAGAGATTTCTGGTCTCCTAGACTTGCAGTTTCATGGCTAGGTGAATGGTCACTGCATTTATCAAGATAGGGGGTTGCTAAAGGAGGACTAGCTATTTTCTTAGTCCGCTAGGGGGAGGCATGATGGAGATCATAAGCTCTGCTTGGGACCTGTTGACTTTGAGTTTCTCTGAAACATTCAAGTGACAGTATCAAATAGGCCCTTAAATTTATCTGGATCTCAGAGACGTGCTGAGCCAAAGGAAAACACTAAAGAGTCATAGGCATGTAGATGGTTAATTGAAAATATGAGCAGGGTCAAGACTCCCTGGAGAGAGAAGCCCATCTGGAAAGAAAGGTGCCTGGGCAATAGCCTGGAGTCACTCTAGTGTTTGTCAGCTGGAGGTACAGGGAGGACACAGTGAGAACACAGTGAGAAGGGTTGGGTGGAGGAGGAGGAAAGCCAGCAGTGTCATGTCTTAGAAGCGAGTGAAGAGGGTGTCGAGACGGAGGGAGCATGCTGCTCTGTTGAAGTTGAGGCCCAGGTCTGTGCTATACAGGTACAGAGGCACTTCTTTACAGTTCTTTGAAAATATTGAAGACCACTCTGTGTTCAATTAAAAAGGCCAATGGTTAGAGGGCTACATAGGCTAGGACTTACAGATTCACCGGGAGGGCTTAGAACAGGTAGAAACCAGTTTTGTTCCAGCTCTGGGAATGGAATGAATGAACTGAAACCATTGCCAGCCTTCTTTGTCCACTGCTCACAATTCATAGTCCAGGGAAGAAGTGTCCAGTAGGCCTAACTGAGGTCACGTTCCCATCTCTTGATTGTCAGTGGGCATGAACCTGATTAATTGTCCCACCAGGCTGTGTCCCATGGGAGAGAGGTAGCTCCCCAAGAGATAATCGAGACAGTAGAACAAGAGGAGATGGACAGATGGTGGGCAGTCTGGAATCATAGGTTGCCCATCACATCCACTTATGGAGCATTTCTTCAGTTTGAGAAGCGTCTTACTGCTCAGATGAGAAGTGGAAAAGTAGAAAGGGAGGTTCTTCAGTTTAGGCTGGGCTCCAGTTGGGTCGGAACAGTGGCTAGAAGCTGCTTGCAGAGAACCAGCTAGAAATGGACAGCGAGGTCTATGCTTGGAGACTCTCCTCTTCTGGCCTGTTTTCCTTCAGAGCGGAGACATCTGCTGAATTTCTGGTCTTCTTGAGTCAAGTTGAGGCAAAGTGTCTCTTCTGGTGCTTTCTCATTTGTAAATAAATGATTTGATAAGGCTTCTGTAGTTCATTGTAGCCTAATGTATTAGGAAGCTTTTATTTTTTACAGTTTCAAAAAGTTACATTCTATTTTCTGAGGAATGTTTCCCATTTAATTTGGCAGTCACTATAATTTGGTTGGCATGTAAACTGTCTCTCAGTATTACAGCTATCTAGCAATAAAAAAAGCTATGTGAACCTGTCAGGGTGACCTTTATTTCTGTGTACTTCCCAGCCCCCCTCTTTGCCAGACCTTCAGTTTGTTTTTCCATTTACATTTGTTGAATGGTTCTGCTGAGTCATAGTTGGTATCCTAATCTACCAACACTGATCAAGTGCTTATCAAGAGATCCACTTAAGTAAGTGGCATTAGACTCTTACAGTTTTAATTAACTGATCTTAATATTTTTATATTAATTATTTAAACCATTTGAAACATGATTTTATAAAACTTTTTAAATCCCCAAATTTAATAATTTCAGATTAATGTAACTAATCTCTTTCCCATAATCACCTTTAGCATTTCGGTATGAAATCACTGTCATTGAAGTATGGGACCTATAGCTTTGAAAAGAAGATTTATGTAGTATTTTAGAGTTGCTTAAAGGTTTGACATTTTATGTCTTTGCATCTCTTAAGAAATAAATAGTTAACTTACTTTATACAGTTTACGGTACACTTGGAAAAAGTTCACCAGGCTTGTTAGAACTGTACATGAAATACAACTAAACAGGTCCCAAGTGAAGGCTTAAGGACTTTTCTTGATGAGCATCCGAGAATTTTTTTCTTCTTCTTCAACTTTAAGTCACTGAGATTTGCAACAATGGTATTATGTTGGCATTAAAGATTCATGACAGCAAGCTACTTTTATGCTAGAGAGTAGTATAGCAAGAAAATGTTTTCAGTGTTTAATATTAGAAGTGTTTTGGGTCTTTATTCAGAATTTGGTGATGTTTTCATGACAGACAGGAACTTAATTCTTGTTTATATCAATTAGCTTATGGGAAAACTGGTTTCATTTGTTTGCTTAAAGCCGCAGTTTCCAAGAACCTATTGAGGATGTTAAGTGAGGACTTAACTGTATTTTTGCAAGTTTATTACATCATCTTTTAACAGAAGAGTAACACAAACCTATTTTAGTCTTCAAGAGACCTACGAAGCCAAAAGACATGAATTCCATGGTGAACGTCAGAGGAAGGAAGAAGAAATGAAGCAGATGTTTGTGCAGCGAGTAAAGGAGAAAGAAGCTATATTGAAAGAAGCTGAAAGAGAGGCAAGTACACTGGTTTGATGTGATTTGCATTTTTTTAGGTATTTTATTAATTTGGGAGATTTATTGTAAGAATTTGGTTGAGATGCTTTTGTAGGCTACTTGTCCATTTAAAAGTAGCTATTCTAACATGTAGTCTTTGAATACAGACTTTTAAAAAAGTCATAATCTGAAATCAAATCAAAATTTTGTCCTTTTGGGCAAATCATCTTCTATTAGAGTGGTTTTCCAAGGACTTGTAATAGACTCGGTTACTAAGAAGTGTTTTAAATATTATATCTTCACCCTGAGCCATAAATGTTTTAGCTGTGGCTAAAACCTTTTTTGAGACTTGTTGGGGTGGTTGTTTGCCATGAAATGGATAACTGTGAGAGCTGTGAAGTAGCTTTTCTTTGTGTTTGAACTCAGGCTTTCTGGATGCAGTTTGATGGTCTAGATGACCTTGGGATAGCCTTGGCACAAGAAAGTATCACCAGTGAACTTCCATGGTTTTGTTTTCTTCTAGTTCTTCAAGCAGCGGTTTTAGTTTTGAGTTAAACTATTTTCTGTAGACCTATGGAGCTAACTGCAATGGTGACTTTTAAGTGAACAGCCACATTTAGAATGAAGGTCATTTTTCTGCAAAAGGGAATTTGTAAGAGAAGACAGAAATATTAATATAAATAAACTAGATAATACAAGAGTTCCTGAAGAGTTATCTGTAATTTAATTTTGCAAATTTATCATTTCAAGTACACTTGTACTTGCTATTTAAATGAA